TAGAGGTGTCTGATGAGATGAGTCCAATAGATATCCATTTTATATTATCATCATATAGTCGTGACCAAACAGCAAACTGATCATCATCAGGTCAACAGACATTTGTTGACCTCTTTTGGTTAGGTGTTTAGTGTTCTCTATATTCAGAATTTGTGTATCTTGATCTGCCCCTATTTCAAGGGTCAGATCAAAATTTGGCTGTCTCATACCATATTTTGCAAAAAAATAACCAAACAAGCCCTCAACTATTCAAGTGAAATAATTGATTTCAAGTAGTAGGAAGAGAACTTTTCAAAAAGAAACAAGAATGAATCATTTGAGTTTAGTGTTTGATAGTTTTCCCGTATGTAAGTTTAGGTATAAGGACTAGATATCCATGACTTCCATCACTGCAGAAAACATTATATGTTGCATTCTTCAAGATTTATTGAACCACCATCTACCCACCGCCAGAATCAAAGAAAGACTACAATGAAAAACTGAACAATTCTAATCTATTGAGCTCAATCTTACCAAGGACTACAAGATTTCATTTCTTATCCAAACAATTTATACTGAAACCGTGTGAATTGAGGCCTTGATGAATTATTTAAAGCAGAACAAATCACAATAAATTGTCAATAGACATACAAATTCAAGATTGGAATCAAAACACACACTCATTGAAGCATTGGAATCTTTAATAAGCTTTTAAGAATCCCAGCTCAAATTCAATGTGAATGATGACATCTCTACCACAACTATCATTCCCTCTATTTTAAATCCTTCAACACAAAGATAAGACAAATGTTATAAACAAAATTCAAAGGAGGACAAAAATTCTCAACACCAATCCAATTTTTCTATCTCAAAGAGGGACATCTTATCCAAACTGTTTGTAATGTGATGCGGCAAGGAAAGAGACAGGTTCAAAAGTGAAATATAGTTATGTCCATTTTCAGTATCTTGAGAACTGTACTACAATATAAACCAAACGGACTGGTTCTAGTGCAGGGTGTTGCTTGTCCTTATGGACAATTTCTCTGTTCAACTTAGATGTTTTGAAATCAAATGTTGAGCATTAGCAATCACTGGGAGTAAAAAGTCTGATGATCGGCTGTTGAGCCTTGTGCTCGAGATGTCACTTGCTTGCTCTATCTATCACTGTGCTGAACATGTGAGCTCTGTGACATTGGAGATCCATGTGACAGGGCTCGATCATTTCAGTTCCAACTTCAATAAGCCAATGAGAACGCGCAATCGGTGACCACGTCAATTCACAACCAACCCTTAACTTTGAAGCTATCTCTCATTTTAACTAATCCATCTTTTGGATATATTACCTACAAGAAACTAGTCACGATGGAATGTTCATTTGGTATCACTGGTACGCAAACATCACTATTGGTCTTTGGTCTTGAAGTAACATATTGTAAGACAAACACTGACTCTATTCACTTATTTAGGCAAGGATTTTGTGATCTTGTCTGTGGTATCACCCTGCTTGGAAATACTAGAGCAATGTTGACTGATATTTCTCGATATGTGATCTCCTCTCATGTCTTTCGCAGTGCCTCCGACTCTTGTGCAAATCGTAGTATTGTCAAGATGAAAGCAGGAGAGGACAAGCAAAAAGTGGTTTCCAAACACGTAGTTATGGCTTACTCTGGAGAGCCTGGTGAGCTCATTACTTTCAAGACTTTTACTAAAGAGAAGGTCGGTTTCACTTACATCGTAAGATCTTTCAGGTGATACAGTTCAATTTGCTGAATACGTCGAACGTAATTTACGACTTTATGGTATCAGGTACTTTATACTTACAATGTCATCAACTTGCTATCTTGAAATTGTCTTGACCGGACCTGTTATCCAATGTTCAACAGAAATCATGTGGAGCTTTTACCTCATGAGGCTGCTTCTTGGACTCGTAATCAACTTGCCACTTCACTCAGGTCTCGCAAACCTTATTCAGTCAACATGTTACTCGGTGGCTACGACACAGCAAGCTCGTTACCAATGCTTTACTGGATCGACTACTTGGGAACGATGGCTCAAGTGCCTTATGCGGCACATGGATATGGTGCCTACTTCTGTTTGAGTACGATGGATAGATTTCATAGCCCAGATATGAATCTTGAGCAAGGACTTGCACTACTTAAGCGATGCATCGAAGAACTCAATACTCGATTTATTGCCAATCTTGGAAGTGCGTATACATATCGATCACCAGCGTATGATTATCTTCGAATACTCATCTCCCTTTTGGTCTTCTATCACTTTCTAAATTTCACAGCATTCAAGATCAGGGTGGCTGATAAGGAGGGAGTTCGAGAAGTAACTCTGTAATCTGGTTAGGCGATGTAAAACAATTTTAGTTCCTCCTTCAAGTCTGCTCTCTGAGGCTTAAGTCCTAGCGCTTTAGATCGTTAAATGCATCACAGTGAGTGACCAGAGATTGACATTTCTAAAACAAAATGTATCAGCTGTGTTTCCCAGCGGCTTATGTTGCGAGAGAATTGCGTCAAGTATGCAGCTGCTGGTGCAGCTGGGCTGTCACCGGTCCCGAAGGAAAGACTGGGAAAAGACTGCTAGGTATCGTGTGCGTTCGTATCAACTCAATGCTATGGCTCGTTGAGATTCATCCACCAACAATTGTCAGATCCTAGAGTGGCCAAAATTGGTCTTGTAGAGCCGTTTGCACTAGTACTTGACAAAGTATTATCTTGTGCTGTATCACTAGACTGCCGAAGTTATGTATCATGGGATCAGCTAGAGATGGCATGATATTCGAGTGGGTCAACTTCATGAGGAGGTCGTAATCCTCAAGACATTATTGTTTCATGACCATTAGCGTCCATATTACCGAGATAAGAATTCTCGCCCAATTCATGATGCTGTCCCTACAGTAAGCTTAGAAAGTAAACCGGCTGACCCGCTAAGACACTTGAGTTGAACCTCGGCTTATGAGGCACACTCCTTAGTTATACTGGGCACAACATATCCAATTGATCAAGACAAGTCACGCCTATGACTTTGAGCACCATCAAAAATTTCAACCGGGTGTTGTGCGACTGAAGATAGTCATTCAGGAGAAGAGTTTTAGCTTAAAGATGTAAATGTCCAGGTGCTGGCTCTCCAGCTCTCACAACTCCCTCAGAAGATATCCAATGCGTACGTGAGGTGACGTGACGGTCAAAGGGACTTTTCATTCTCGTGAACGAGAGCTGAACTCAGCTGAAGAACATAGACTGCAAATGCAAATACTACAGCAACAAGCTGATGACTTCTCAGCTTATGAGCGATATTCCTCAGCCTAACACTTGCAGATAAAAACAAGACTGCTTGCTAGTCTTAGGATCATCAGAATCATCAGACAGAGTTCATGCACACACCGTTCAAATCATTCACTACTTCTGATACCACCATCCAAAGATGCTTCACAAAGACTCCGCTAACTCATCCACCCTTTCACAGCCTACTTGGGCAACACGTCCTCGTACTTCATCTCTACCAGAATTGCATGAGATGCGTGCAAGACAAATCTCACTTGATCTCAATCCGGCTTGTCATAGTCTGAGAGCAGAAATCAATTCATCTGAAGAGATTTCCTCAAACCCATCGTCCTCACAAAACTCATCCACAGACTACATACCACTAGGATCCATTGAGACACATGAGGCGATAACAGCAATCGAAAGAAATCGAATGTATTTAAATTTGAATGACCAATCTAGTGATTCATTGATTTATAACGAAGAGTATATTCCTCTGTGGTCAGTCCCTAGTTTTTTTGTAAAAAAAACTTGAAGCCAAGATTGACTCGAAACAATCTACGCATCATTTCCTATGCAGTTCTTCTAGATCAATTCCAACTTGGAAGCGTGTAAACGGCCGTGAAGCCTGCCTAATTTCACACGATCACTCTTCCCGCAGCTCGCCTGCTCAACTCTATGGCTCTTCTAAGACTCTTAGCCGACGTGAACAAATCTTGAGGCTATTTCCAACAATCCCACCGCCACCAGACCTCCCTTTACCCTCACTTCCATCCAATATCTCTCTGAATGGGACTGAAGAGATAGTCTGTCCACATCGGACTTCGTCGCCTCTACCTCAAGCCCCATCACCACCACACCCAGGCTTGCCCCGGAAAGTTTCGATTGGAACCTTTGGTGAACCTAGTGAGTAATCTTACGCTAAAATCTGTCCAACAGAAAGTAAGACACAACGTTTCAATAAGACTCAATCTTTTGGGTTCTTTATCCAATGATATAAAGAACTTTCTCCTGCGAAAGCACTCAAACAAGCTTCCAAATTTCTTAGACCAAGAACAATTTCAGGCAAATTACTTAAAATGTTGAAATGTGGTCGAGATTAAGAAAGGTCTAAGAATCAAGGAGAAAACTAAGGATAATTTCAGTATCAGTTTTGAGAATTGTAAATCTTGAGATCTTTACTTTGGTTTTATGCTTATAAGTTTGGGTAGAAATGAATTCTTAGAGTTAATGATTATAATGTCTTTTGATGAAAATATTATTGAAATGAAGATTAAGACGAAAATTTTTACCCTATCATATAGATCATCTCTTGATTTTTGAGTCATATCTTCATCTCTCATTAAAGGTTGACCAGCTTTTTGATGATCCAGAGACACATTTACAATCATATATTTTGTTCATGATCATTGACCTGTCTACCTTCACTGGCATCCTCAAGCTTCTAGTAATGGGATGTCACTCACTCTTGTTTTTTTTTCGGTACAATATTTAATCTACTCAGCTCCGGATCATACTAACTCTTGAAATCATTTAACATCCGAGAAGATGTTGGATCTAAGAAATGGATAAGCGCAACGATTCGGCTACATTGGCATGGTCGTAGAGAAATAATTAAGAAACTAATGTCATAAAGTACTGTCTTGTGCTTGTGTTAAGAAGAAATAAATAAAGGAAAATAAGGAAGTGTAAAATCGACCTTCTAAATTAGGAATCAATATATACACATGTGTACCGAGGCCTGTATACCCTGGTATCGTCTAGTGGTTAGGACACCAGGTTCTGATCCTCAGTGTGTCCTGGTGACCCCGGTTCAAACCCGGGTACCAGGTTTCTTTTTAAATTTCGGAAGGAGGCGTTCCAGGTTTCACTCGCCTGTCTGCAGTCAATCTGGATCAACCGTTCCTTAGAGAACTCATCATGTTGTGCTAGAGTTGCGGAACGCATTGGGATGCATTACTTCATGAGTCGATGTCCAGAAGATCTGACAAAAACGGGTTATCGATTGGTTTTTTACCATGTTATTCATATATCTCAGATACTGGAGTGCGGTTCTCACTTCCCAACAAGAATTGCAGAGCCTGACTGACATGTGAGATTCATGCAAGGGTGGCTTGAAGCCTTGATGGCAAAAATCTCGAGAGCTTCGGCCCAGATGGCCCGGGAAGCGTCTGAGTACGCGCACAACTTGGTCTTTCGAGCTTACGTAGAGTGATAGCTTTCATTCAACGCAGGCACAATGGTGTGTCAGACACAAATAGGAAACCTGTTTTTGATATCAGAAATTTTAAACAAAAACAATAGCTCGATCCTCTTCGCTCCACTTATGAAGGCCATGGCATACTGTGTTTAGCGGGAACGAGGAAATGATTGAAGCAATGTGTTTTGGTCTCATGTGGTGCGCCAAATAAATCACTCTCTATTGAGTCTATCAAGTGAATAAAAAGGTTTACTGTATCTTCCGAGACCAACTGGAGGAGATTGTTCTTGATGCTCCGATTGATCTGCGCTCGAAGAAAATCATCAAGGCCGGAGGAAAAATTCAACTGGGTTACACGGACAAAGATCACACTATGGGCATGATGAAGAGATGATGGATCGAATGTCCTAGTCAATAGAAGGGTTGTAATCCAAGTGAAGTGGGGTCAAGACAAAGTGTTGGGTATTGGTCTGGTGCGGTAAATCTTGACCTCGAGGATAAAATGTTGAGCGTCTGTTCTGTGAGGAAGGCTGAGTCCGAATGTACCGCTCTAGGCGATGATCCAGCTCGTTTGACTGATTCAAAATAAGTCGACGTTCCTCATATCGATAACTTTCATCATCCCCAGTTTCAAAGACTGACTCTACTACTTCGAAATCTTCTGTACCCATCTCTTTGACTCTTCGAAGCCTATCTTCTATCTCCAACATCAAACGACTTTCACTTGACACCATTTCGATCTCCTCTTGTATGATCAAATCATCCAAGGAGTCACGTTTTTCAATATCAGTTTGTCGACGAGGTCTATCTAAAGCAACTTCAAAATCGTCTTGGCGGTCTAGCTCTCCATTCAGACCTCTTAATTTACGCCCAAGATATTTGCTCCCTGTAAACATCTCTTTGAAAAGGTCACGCAAATCCAGGACGTCTCTGATTGAACTCCAACGGGTGGTCTTTTGGTATCGAGAAGAGCTTGCTATCGAATTGTCGAATTCTGTATGCCCTTCTGGCGGAAGTAGCGCTACACAGGTGGCTCGATAAGGTAGATAGCTGAATGCCTTGATATGAAGGAAACCAAAAATCGACATCTCAAGGCAGGTCAAAATGGCAGATATGCCAACTTCGATTTGATCAACAGACCTGTCTCCAAAAAGAGAAAGATATGAACGGTGAATCATCTGGTCTCAATATCGGGTCAATAGTTTTCGGAGAACGTACCAATACTCTGATTCGTGTATAAAACCAAACTGAGCTATAGCTGATATTGCCACGCCTCTGTTAAATATAAAATATGACCAGAATCAGCTTGATATTCCAAGTAGCTCTTCCTGAAAATCCGCTCAAAACGCTGACTGCCAAAATATGATGAAACTACCAAAATTCAAGCCAGGCAATTGCAAATTCGAGTCAGCTTTCTTCGGTGAAGAGATGAGATGAATGAGATTTGGAGGCGCACACAATTGCTTTGACGGAGAACAACTTCAGGACCATTCCGTAAGGCTTCAAACGATCCTTGACGACTAGAAATAGTTGGAACTGAGCGTAAAATATTAACCAATTCAGTAAATGACCCCCTCTCTGATATCAGCTTAGATTGTAGCAAGGTAAACTGACGATACAGAACATTGCAACTGACACCGATATGGAAACAATTGTGGTCATCCAAACATGTGAGTACTTTGGATTATACGATCCTAGACAGTATAGACCATGATATTGAGTCACGACTGCGATCAGGGTTGTGCTAGGACGCAGAACTGTATACTGAAGAATACCTATCAAATTAAAGCGTGATCAAGATCTTCATGATTAGTTACTGATGAAGCAACATCTTAGTGCTCACACCATTTCATAAGCCAGAGAAAGTCCATTCCACTTTTAGGTCTGTAGCTCACCCAACCCAAAGGAAACATCCACTAAACCAGAAATAGAAAGTTTAACAGAATTGGCCAGGCGAAGAAGTATGTAGCATAGAGTAGTTTAATAGCACCTTATCTATGTTCACATGTCGAAAAAATTCCTTTAATTCACCTGGCTTTTTGGCCACGCATGTGAGCATCAAGTAAAAGAAAGAATAGATAATAAAAGCCTCATAGCAGTCCTACGGATTTTGACGCTTTGGATGTATCAATTTTAATTCTTTCTACAAGGAAGAGGATTGAATTTTGCCGAGTATACGTACCCGGAGAAGTTCCCAATATATAGATTGATTCCAAAAGAGATAACTGCCAAATGATGCGACGGAATCTATTGAAAATGATTCGATAAAAATATCAGCTAGGATAACCTTGGGCGCATGAAAACCGACTGTCTAACGCTAGGTGTGTCCTTACAGATGGGTACCATGAATAAGATCCGCACAATCTGACGCTGCTCTTGCGGTCGGCTGTAAAAGATGAGGTGCTTGTTTATCAACCAAATTGAAGCGGATATCCCGGTGATGGCAAAAACTATGTTACTTGACGAGGGTGATTAATGACTAAAAAAACAAGGTCGGTCTTTAAGGCTACCAAAAAAAACCCACATGCTGATACAATCCATCCAACTCTTGGAGTGTTGTTCAGAATCAGCGGTTTTAAACTTGGTTGAAATTCTACAAGGATAATCGTAGACAAAGAAACAGAACCCACTGGTGAGCGCTGAAGTTCAACTGACCATGATCCAAGAAAGGTCTAGGATCCTTGGGTTTTTGAATCACTTGACAGGTTGATGTTCTCATTTTGGCGTTAAGCAATTTCTTAACGCAGTCACTGTGTCGAGCGGTATCGAACTCGAGAATCTCCAAAATGTGACCGGTTGGATTATAAATAATAAGCAAAAGCGTAAACGAAAAAAAAATCTCGATGATCGGTGATTAGATGAGTCGGGAGGTCCTTATAAGTAATGATAACTCAGGGCATCTTTGGCTATCCAACCATCAGTCAGTACAAGGACATTAATCATAATCAAACAGGAACGTCAATTATGGTTGAAAGAGCTCACCATGCAAAACTTCGCAAATCCAATAGCAAATCCAATATCGCGTTCATCGTGTACTGGAGAAACGCAAGCTCAGCCAGTCTGAATACAAATTCCACTCAAATCACTACAATTGTCTGATCACATGCTAGGGAGTGGTCACATGTGTTATGTTGAGCGGCATTAGACCTACCTAGCGTACATTGAGCTGAGATTGATACAATCCTGGAGAAGATGGATTAACCTTGAGGTTTATGAAGTGGATGAGATTACCCCCCCAATGGTTATATTTGGTATCGTATTTCAAACAATTTATATGCTCGCCGCAATCCATCATGAGAAATTTAAAGATTCAAATTGCTCAGAGACATGCTACGCACCATTTGATGAAGCATTTTAATGGCTCACCATGGATCTCACGACGGAAGATATATCAGAGAAGAATTTTCAACAAAACTTTGTGTCAAGCTTCCAAATTACGTTTCAGCTGAGGCATGAAGACATACATAACAGTGCTTTGAAATTGTGAACAGTGTCACATTATAAAGCTGAGGGCCAAGCAAACCACTAGGGGGTTCCCGTTTGACCATCATCAGGGGTCCTTTCACCGTAGGCTAACGCTCAATACATCAAAATCTGAACAGGTAATTCAGAGACCAGCCGTAAGATATAGCACGCGCTGGTCATGCTATCTGAACAAATCCACAAACAATGGAGCTACAAATCAGGGAGCAAAAACATCGGGAAAATGACGCATTTTTGACCTTTTCGGCTGATTCTTTCTTTGCTATAGTCACATTTTCAATATGTTGATGGACAACCTATTTCACTGGTGAATCGATGCTCCATCTCTACACCAAGGGTTCATTGAGTAAGCGATATGCAAAACAACACCGATGTGATTGAAATTGGAATATCTAAGATAAAAGCCTACTGTTTAAGCGTGCAGGCTTAAGGGGATTATGACCACCCCTCAAATCTTTTCGAATACATGATAGGCGAAAATCAAACCTATCATGGATTGATCTTTGGCTTCAGAATCTGAAGTTTTCGGGTACTGATGACTGGCGAATATGGACAGCCACTTTCTTTATCTGACGTCAAGAGGCTATCACTACATATTCCACTTACGAAATCTGTGATTCGATACCAGATTCACGTTTATCAATGAGTGGATGGCTTCTAGCCGCTCTTGATCTCGTCTGTTGGGCCTGGACAGAATAGCAGATGATGTGATCATAATTAAGGAGGAATTGACCTGACAGTGTCAAACTCCAAAAAGAGGCAAGTGCGAAGAGCATTCAACAAATCGAAACAGTACTGGTCTAGAACTGCGGCAGAAACCTTTGTGGCGCGTGTGTTGGCCACGGAACCTGAATTGGAGACACCAAATTACAGGAGAGATTCAAATGCTTCATCTTTATTTTTTTGAAAATGCTGCATTTTAAAGGCTTGAGTTCTCATTATCCCGTCGTCGATCTTACAGAAGTACTAGCTACAAGTCGTACGCCTTGAAAGTGTGATATATATGATAAATTGCGATGTTTGATGGTTCAGAGTGTCACCGTGTCGGATATCTTTCTTCTCTGGAGATTATCAAATCCACGCCAGTATAAACTCGAATCATATCCAAATCGCTCATCAAGATAAAAAACCGTGAGATTGAGATCGGTA